TGTACACACCTTTTAAAAAACATTCTGTTCAAACATGGAGGATATGCATTGCTACCAATATGCTCCATTGCTTGAAGTGTTATATTTTTTGGAGAGGAACCAACTAGCCCAATGCAGGTTCTTCACCAGGCCATCAGGGAGAGACAAGAGCTGTTTTTCCATGAAGATGGTATAAGAAGGCCCTCCAACCAGGTCAAGGCAGCCTGGGCAGAGGTGGTCGAGGAGAAGAGCCACCGAAGGGTAACCAGGCACACTGCACCCAATTCAGTAGGAGGGTAAACAATGTGCTGTGACCTGCAAAGGTCACATTTTCAATAATTTTCTCAAGGGATTATCAGTAATGTATATCTAACAGCATGGGCGTCATGATGGCTCAGTGGTTAGCACTGCTGCCTCAGAGTGCTAAGCACCTGGGTTCAATTCCAGCCTTGGATGACAGTGGAATTTGCACGTTCTCCCTGCGTCTGCATGGGTTTCCTCGGAGTTCTCCAGTTGCCTCCCACTCTCAAGGAGAAGATGGCAACATCATGAATCAGTATCTAGACAAATAGGGAACAAGATCCCTGAACCTCCCTGGAGTTCCCTTCCCTCAGGATGGTAGCAGAGTGCCTTCAAACAGCCAGATGGAGGAGGAACACATACTAGCTGCACCTGAACATTTCCTTACACCCTCCACCAATGGGTGCAAAAATTCAAACCACAAGCGTGGCATGCCTGCACTTGTTAGTTTCAACACTCTGCATTTTCAAAGGATGCCTGGAACAGTCATCCAAGGCAATCGAATAATACATTGAGTAGACTGCCTCCACTTCAGCTAGTTGTATCAAAATAGCTATTAGGAAAAACAGAAGTAAAAGTAAAGTTAAGAAATGATAAGCTCAAAGGTGGCATAGGTGATTTTTCCATCTAGTTTGCATGCACAATATGATTCATTTACTGTGATTCTTTGATATGGTTGGGATTTGGTGTAGTCTATCAAAATATCAAGAAGGTAATTGTCATGGCATGCCCATGATAGCTGAAGAGCAGACAGAGATACTGATATTATTCCTGAATAATGTATTGCATTTTCTTGCGTTCTTTATTTAACTAGTCAGAGCACACCTGGAACACTGAATAGTTTTGGTCCCCTTCCATCTAAGGAAAGATATAGTGGAATTGGAGGCAGTCCAGAGAAGTTTCACTACGTTGATCCACAGCATGGAGGAACTTTCTTCTGAAATGTTGAGGTGGTTGGGCTTGTACTCCTTTAAGTATAGAAGAATGGGAAGTGACTTATTGAATCTTGAAGATGCAGAGAGATTCCTTCTCCTTGTGGGACAGTCTGGGACCGGAGAGCATAATCTCAAAATAAAGTGTCACCCATTGAAGACAAATGAGGAGGAATTTCTTCTAAGGGTGGTGAGTCTGTGGAATTCTTTACCACAGAGAGCTGTAGAGGCAAGGCCATTAAGAATATTCAAGGCTAATATAAATGGATTTTTAATCAGTAAAGGGATCTGGATTATTAGGAAAAGGTAGGAAATTGGAGGCTTATCAGATCAGCAGTAATCTCATTGAATGGTGGTGCAGATTCGATGGAATGAATGGCCTACTTCTGTTCCTATGTCTTATGGTCATCTAATATTATATTTCTGTGATGATCACTGTGAAGCTGGGTTTTAAATACAGGTACAGCGGAATCCCACCTCCCAAAAATCTGTTCATTCAGAGAACATTGGCTCATTTATGACACAATCACTGTAAATGAGACAGGTGGAGTTATTAAAAAACACTTCAATGACAGTGCTTTGGGTATGGAGGCCATCACATTTGAATGCACTCACGCAATACTCAACACCAACTATGTGAAAAATCTGCTTCACACACTATTATAAGTGGTAGAAGAAACAGGTTTAGAGATAATTGGGAAGGAAGCCTGCCATTCTTACCTGGTCTGGCCTATATGAGACTCCACATTAATGACAGAAATGTGGTTGATTTTTAAATGCCTTCTGGACAATTAAGAATAGGCAATAAATGCTGTAGTAGCCAGCAATATCCATCAATGAATCAATATAAATATGTGGCCAAGAAAGATGGCAGTGTTAATTATACAGCCAGGAAGGTGGTGGAGGTCTGGGATTAGAACAATGGTCATCAATGCATCATTGTTACACACATTCTCTGTAGATTAGGTTTTCCCTAACATCCCGGGCAGGTCTCTCTATGGACCTGACCACCATGAATGGCTAGACAAACAGGAGGCTGGAAGAACACAGCAAACCAGGCAGCATCTGGAGGAAAGGAAAAGTCAACGTTTCAGGTAACGTATTTCAGGACTAATACCTGAAATGTTGACTTCTCCTTTCCTCCAGATGCTGCCTGACTTGCTGTGTTCTTTCAGCCTCCTGTTTGTCTACTTTGGATTCCAGCATCTGCAGTTTTGTTTTTCTCTATCCATGAGCGGCTCATTGGTATTCAGAAATTGCTGGAAAAACTCAGCAGATCTGGCAGCATTTGTAGACAGAAAGCAAAGTTAATATTTCTGATCTATTGACCCTTCTTCAGAACTGAAATGTTAACTTGGCTTTCTTTCTACAGATGCTGCCAGACCTGCTGAGTTTTTCCAGCAATTTCTGATTTCCAGCATCCGCAGTTCTTTGGTTTTGTGTTTCTCTCTGAATTCACAGATTCTTCTTCACACATTGGACAGTCGCAATCCTCCTCATCTGAGGAGGGATTGGGCAAGTGGTGCTGCTTCTCATCCTGATCTTCCCCTTGCAATATCTGTGTGGCAGCATTAAGTTGAGCAATATACAACAGACCATTGTTATTTGTGACACTTTTTGGGGTGTGCCTTGCAGAGCTCTCAAGATTGGTTAAAACAGTTGAAGCGATTTTTAAGAATGGCATATTGGGTGTTAGCATTATTGTCATCTCCTTATAAGCAGAGGAAAGACCTCCTAACTGAGGAATGATCCAACAATTTGGGCTGGAGCTTCTAAAGAGTTGTGCAAGGTGTATGTATTATGACAGGTCCATGGGAAACTAGCACAGATCTGCATTATTCTTCTTCTGTGGTTGCACATGAGTTGAAGATCAGTCATTCAGTCTGACCGATTGGAGGTGTTCTGCAGAGCGGTCACCTAGTCCGCGTTTGATCCTGTCTGTAATTTCACATCAAGTACCGTTTATTTGTACCTCATTCAATCTACTAGAGGGAGCTACAGGCAGAGGCTGAATAGGCTTTTCCCTGGAGCATCGGAAACTGACGGGTGATCCATTTTGATTACCATCCCAAGCCTGCAGTCTCGTGTGCGCGTGGTTCTGTTCTTAGCAGAGCTGACTTACTTTCTGCTATTAACACCTACCATTCACACCTAAACTGCATCTATATCCCTTCCCTATTATCATTAAGACTCTATCGACCTGTTCTTTAGGGTATCTTTACCATATATTCTACTTGCTCCCCCCTGCTTTTTACTGTATAACAATGCCTAGTTTTCTAGCCCCTTTCAGTTTCAGAGGATAGTCATATATATTGGATTTGTAATGTTAATTCTACTTCCTTCTCCATAGTTGCTGCTAGACCTGCCAAGTTTCTCCAGCATTTTCTGTTTGCTCAGTTCAGACTTCTTATTAAATGAGAACTGAAAATTTAAACACATATTCCGCTACCGAATGAAGAAGAATTTTCACTAATTTCATTGCCAAAATGAAAGTCATTCTGAAGGCTTTGCCACACATTATTTACTGCAGTTAGTTCAATTTCTATGCCCAACTGCGTGCTCAAAAAAAAGTAGCACAATAATTGTCTGACATTGAGGTGAGTTGAGCTTGAAAGCTATGTTCTATTCAATACTAAGTATACCTATTTACAGTTCCATACATTTACCTCCCGTAATCTGATTTCTTCCCAGTATTGCTGAATTCCAGTATTTTGGGGGTGGGCTGTAGAAAGTAGTCTGAGGCCTGCACTGGGAGCAGGGAGAGTTCTGATGTGGGCAGAGCAGGTCTGAACCAGGCACGGGGGATGGAGACTTCGAGGTGTCTGTGTGCATGCCTGCACGCATGCGTGTGTGTGTGCGTGCGTGCGTGCATGTCGGGGTTGGGGGCGGGGCCCTTGGGGTTTGCAGGTGGTGAAGCCTGCACAAGGAGAGGAGCAAGGCCTGTACTTGGAGCAGGGTGAAGCCTGCAGTGGGAGGAGGAAATGTGCACCTGGAGTGGGTGAGGCCTGTACCAGCAACAAGTGAGGCCTGTACCTGGAGCTGGGGCAGCAGCCTCTGTTTGTCCATTTTGTGTATTAGTTTTTATAAAAACATTTATTAAAAGTCTGATCAATTTTTCTAAATGTACATTTCTAGCAGCGTCACCATGTTCTGACATTACTTTAGTCATCACAATTATAAATTCAGCTCTTGTGGCATCCTTAGGCCATAAAGGTAGCATGTAAATGCAAGTCTTTCTGGATAAAATATTCACCAGCCCCCAAATAACTGCACACAGGCTGAAATCTGTCACCAAGTCACCCTTTATTTACACATGGAGAGTCCTTGACGCTGATCCAGTTCTCTCACAACCAGCTCTCAGTGTGAATAAGATGTCTGACACTCCTGTTCTTATCGGTTGACCAGGGCTCCCTGTTTGCAGCAGATTAACAGCCCTATTTAGGGAACTCATGTTCTATGGAGGTCCACCTTGCTGACTTTGTTACAATCACAACACCAAGGACCATTTTTTCCTGAGCTCTTTCTTACACCAATTCCAAATTAACAAAACATCAACACTTACATCCTACCACATATTTAATGTTTGGTTTTAGAAAACCTAGCAAGTCCACAATGAAACTGCCATTTGCTATGCTAGACCTATGCATCAGGAAGTGACAATGTGAGTTTTCCTTGAATGCTAAGATAAAAAAACTACAGTTACAGGAAGGAAAAGAATTTTTAAAAACTTTTGCACGCGAAGATCACAGTAGAAGATCAACAAATTAAATCATAAAGACTAATACTCACACAACCACCAGCAAGTATTTCTGCTGCAATTGCAACGGAGCCATCTTTCCGAATAAACCTGTCTCTTACAAAATCATTTGTCTAAGATTAAACAAAATATTTTGAATCAGACTGAATGAAATCCATCTACAAAATCCATTATTATGGAACTGTCAACAGTAACAGAAAGCTTATCAATACTTTTCATTCTGGATTTATCTTAAAACTTCACATGTACGCAGCAATCCCTCACTAACAGCTCCCTGATGTTATCTAGTCAAATTTACAAAGAATTGTTCCTTGGGAAGTAACATTTCTAAGAAATAAAACCTAGTATAAGTCACTACTTTTCATTTCTGGAAGCAGGATTTAAATCCAGCTCAGGATGGAAGAATTAATATCTGTGTTTGATGGCTATAAAGCAACCGTCTCAAAGTGTTTCAGCAGTCCCAGTTCAGTGTACAATGGACAAGAGGGTACAGCATAGAATGGATCTTAATCTTGCATTAATGGGCAATCTCACTCAGAAGGTGCTGACCAGCTGCTGTGAAAGACAGAAATCAAAATCGCCAAAATGGGAATACTCTTTTGTACTGGGAATCATGTAGATTACACAGTACAGCACAAAACTATGACTGACCCCAGAATGCTTGAAGTCTAATCTTGAGCCCTCTCCAGGTGGGAAGCATTTAAGGGGAGAATGGCATGAGGTGATCAATTAAGCCCACAGCAGCAAGTTTATTTGCTCACTTAAGGCTTAAGGTCCTCCAGTCTTGGTTAGGGGAGGCAGTTGAGAAGATCTTGTTAAAAGCACCCCTCAACTGTGCTCCCCCTCCCATCGTCACATACCTCTTTCTGGGAAGCAGTGATGATCATAGACTCTGGATGGGTGTCATACAGGCAGCAGTCACTATCTCTCCGGTGACTGTCCTATGCAACAGAACTGACAAACTCTGACTGGCTGTCAGCTCTCAGTGGGCAGGATGTCAGTCCCTTTGGACTTAGGGAAGACCTGGAGCTGTTGTTTCAAATGTCTCAGTGGAATCTTTGCTGCCAAGATTTCACTTTGGGTGCCTGAGATGGGAAAAATTCCACTCTACACAATTAATATCTCTGATCTTGATCCCACAATTTTCGCGAGAACAAAAGAAAGAAAATTAGAGAGGAAAATGTATTCATAGGGCGGCATCTTGTGGAGTTACATGGTATCCCCTGCTACAGAGCTGGTAAAACTCCTGCATTGCCTCTTTTTTTTAGGAAGGCCTGTCGCATCTCAGGCAGTCAGGTACTTAACAAGCTAGTGTTAGGTATTTCTTTGGGATCAAGGACTCCAGGGATATTAGTCCTGCCTGCTGCAAGCTGCCAGCCATGGGGACTGAGAAGGGTCGACAGCAAATATTTATAGCAGTCAACATAACCATATATGATGGCAAAGTGTCCAAACATAAATTCAGATGCAACATCAGAGAATCAAACACTTCTATAGTAAGCATGACATAATACTTTGTAAAGTTAAATAATAATTTTAAGAATATATTTACAACACTTACAGTAAGTTTTATAGCTTTCTCTGGTGCAACACCCATCAATTGTGGTATTAGTCCTATAATGGACAGAGACACAAGGATTAGATTTATTAATGTCAATCAAAGCAAATGTACATCCTCCTTGGAAAAGAGTTTCTCTGTTATGGCTAAAAAGCAAGCAGTGAGTCAATGATAAAGAAGGAAGAGCAGCAGTTTTGATTAATGAGTTTCCTCAAACCAATGGGAAACTCCATATAAAAAGAAAAACAGTGATCTTAGAAATTGGAAATTAAAACAATATCTGCTCGAAATGCACAGACCAACCAACATTAATAACAACAATAATTTTGGTGGTGAACATATTTGCATAATAACATAAATGTTCATAATAATATAGCGAACATCAAACCAACGTCTTTCCCAATACCCCAAACCCCCATTGTTAACTCACTTCACAGAAAGTATAGATCGTGTAGCACACAATTTAATATTTATAGCAAAGTTTCTTTCTCGAATACCTTACGAGCCATCAAAATTTTAATAAGTAAGGTTAGTTTCCTCTTCAATTCTGAAATGGAAAATTGAATTCAGTTTCAACATTAAATATTCACAGACCTGGTATGGCACAATATATATCCAGGCAAAAGATCCCCTTATATTTATTTTATTCATTCAGAGGATGTAGGCTTCACTGACTGGGCCAGAATTCATTGCCCATTACTAACTGCTTTGGAGAAGTGCAGGCAGCTGCGTTCTTGACCTGCTGCTGTACAGTGGTACAGGAACACTCATACGGCTGTTAAAGAGGGAGGTCCAAGCAACTATGAAGGAACAACAATATATTTCCAAGTCAAGATGGTGAGTGGCTGGGGGAAGTATTTGCAGGTGGCAGGTGCAGGATTAAATCCCGTACATCTGGTGCCCTTGTCCTTCTAGATGACAGTGATCAGATTTGAAGGATGCTAAGGCCCTTGGTGAATTTCTGAAGAACTTCTTGTCAACGATAAACCCAGCTGCTGGTACGTGCTGGAGGGAGAGAGAATGAATCTTTGAGGGTGTGGTGCCAACCAAGCAGACTGCTTTGTCCCTCATACTGTCAAGCTTCTTGAGTGTTACTGAAATTGCAAACACCCCTGGCTTGGGCACTGTAGATATCACACAGGTTTGGGGGAGTCAGGAGGTAAGTGATGCAGAGCAGGATTCCTAGCTTTTGACCTGCTCTTGAAGCCACAGTACTTACATGGTTAGTCTAGTTCAGTTTCTGGTCAATGGTGGCACCCACCATGTTGACAGTGGCGATTCAGTGATGTCAATAAATGTCAAGGGGTGACGGTTAGATTCTCTTTTGCGGGAGATGTCTGGCATTTGTTGGTGCAAATGTTACCTGCCACTTGTCAGGCCAAGGCTGAATATTTTCCACGTACTGCTGCATTTGGACACAGAGTGCTTCAGTATCTGAGGAATTGTGAGTCGTGCTGAACATTGTGTAATTAACAGTGAAGACTCAATTTCTGACTTTATGATGGATGGAAGATCACTGATGAAGTAACCAGATGATTCCGTCTAGGACACTAACCTGAGGATCTCCTGCAGAGATATCTTACAGCTGTGATGACAGACTTCCAACAATAGGGCGGCACGGTGGTTCAGCGGTTAGCACTGCTGCCTCACAGCACCAGTGACCCGGGTTTGATTCCACCCTTGGGTGATCGTCTATGTGGAGTTTGCACATTCTCCCCGTGTCTGCGTGAGTTTCCTCTGGGTGCTCCGGTTTTCTCCCACAGCCCAAAGATGTGCAGGATAGGTGGACTGGCCATGCTAAATTGCCCGTAGTGTTCAGGGATGTGTAGATTAGGTGGCTTACAGGGGGATGGGTCTGGGAGGGATGCTCTGAGGTTCGGTGTGGATTTGTTGGGCCGAAGGGCCTGTTTCCACACTGTAGGGATTCTATGAATCTATGAAAAACACAAACATCCTGCTTTGTGCAAGATATGACTCCAAGCAGTTGAGAATTTTCCTTGATTCCCATTGACTCTAGTTTTGATACTGCTCTTTGATAGATACTACATTCAGTCAAATGTGGCCTTGATGTCACAGGCAGTCACTCTTTTTCAGCTCTGAAAACCTCAACTCTCAAGAAGAATCATACCAAACTCAAAATATTAGCTGTTTCTCTCTGCATGGATACTGACAGCCTTGCTGAGTTTCTCCAGCCTTCTGTGCGTTTGTTTATGATTTCTAGCACCCACAGTATTTTGTCCCTAGACCTGTTGGTTGTGGTATTGTTTACCACTCTCTACCACTTACTGTTTATGCCGTGTGGTATGCATGTAATCTTGTGTTGTACGCACAGGTTGACATCTCATTTTTAGATATGCCTGGTGCTGCTCCCAGCATACCCTCCTGCATACTTCACTGAAACAGGGTTAATTCCTAGCTTGATAGTAATGGTAGAGTGGAGGATATGCCAGACTATGGGCATGCATATCATGTTTGAGTACAAATCTACAGCTTCTGATGACCCATCATGACAAGGATATCCTCAATGTGAGGCCGGGACTTCAAAAGGACTGTGCAATAGGCATTCTTACTGATGCTGTCATGGACAGATGTATCTGCAGCAGGGTGTTTGGCAAGGATGAGGTCAAGTACTCTTTCCCTCTTCCCTCAGTGCTTCTTCCAAGTGTACTGATTCATCAGCCAAGGTGAGGGTGGTACATAGTAATCAGTAGGAGGTTACAATACCCATTTTTGACCATCAGTTATTGGAAGGATACTATTAAGCTGGAGAGGGTTGAGAAGAGATTTTTTATTAGAATTCCTTTATTGTCACTTCTACTACCATACAGAAGTATAGAGTACAGTGAAAGGTTTTTTTAAAATGGCTGCCTTTTAATGGCGCCATCTTAGATACAGGCACTTTGGTATAAACCTTAGAGAGTTAAAAAAAAATTAGTGGTCTGACCCAAAGAGGATTAAAGGAAAGCATAAGCATGACTTATAAAGGTAATTACAACATAGTGAAAAGGTTTTAAATTACAGTCCGATAATAGCAGTTCAGCATGTGGCACCAGGCCCAAGTCCAGCAATTGTCCCGCATTGCTCCAGCCTCCAGTCTGTTCCTCACCGGCACTCAACCAGATTAAGTCGTATGGGACAGGGATTTGTACCTCGTCCCTGTGTCGCTCCAGGACTGGCGTCACTGTCCCCCACCCTCCCACGTTGCTCCAGGGACTCGGCCCCTGTCGCCGCCAGAGGGTGCCTGCTCCCGCACTCACATCAGTTGCCTCAAGCCCCTCCTCCCGACTGCTTCCATTCACACTGCCTGCTCGCACTCGTGCCTGTGAGATGCTCCGGGGCTGCTTTCCCACGTGCTGCTTCGGGGCTCTTCTCCGCGCTGCTCTGGGCTCAAAGTCCACTTGCTGCTGCAGAGCTCACTGCTCACAGTGTTTCAGGACATGAGGGCTCACTGCCCTGGACTTGCTGCCAGCTCTGGTGCTAGGGGAGAGAAGAAGGAAAAAAAGGAATAAAAGGAAAAAGGAAGAAAAAGAACAGGCGAAGCAGAGGAGCTCCGACAGGAGCACCCTACTCTGCCACCATCTTGCAGAATGATTTTACCAGGATGTTGCCAGGTTTGAGTTATAAAGAAAGGCTGGATAGACTGAGACTTTTCTCACTGGAGCGCAAGAGGTTGATTGATGACCTTATAGAAGTTTACAAAATCATGAGGGGTATAGATAGGGTTAATGATAGTTGTCTATTCCCTAGGATGGGGGCTTTCAAGACTAGGGGCACATTTTTAAGATTAGAGGAGAGAAATTTAAAGAAGACACAAGGAACAAATTTTTTTACACAGTGTAGTTCGCGTGTGGAATGAACTTCCTGAGGAAGTGGTGAATGTGGGTACAATTACAATGTTTAAAAGACATTTGGGTAGATACATGAAAAGAAAAAGTTTGGAGGGATATGGCCAGGAGCAGGGAGGTGGGGCTATCTTAGTTTGGGATTATATTTGGCATGAACTGGTTGAATCAAAGGGTCTGTTTCTGTGCTGTATGACTCTATGAGATTTTGTGGGATCCGGAGTCAATGCTGAGGACTCCCCGGGCAATTTCCTCCTGCATCAATTTCCGTTCTGTGGCCTGTCCCACTGATAGGATAGTTCAACAGATTATAATAGTATTGTCAGAAAGGCATGATTCCCTGATTACGAATATATCAGACTAGTCTGGGACAACTTTCATACTTTGACACTGGCAGTAAGGAGTTAGTAAGGAGGAGTTTGCAGAGTTGGCAGGGCTGAGTCTGCTATTGTCGTTTTGGTGCTTAGGTTAATGCCAGGTAGTCATCATGGTTTTATTTCTTTTTAGAGGCTTTAAAGCAGTTAGTTAGTTAGTTAGACTGAAGCAGTCCATGTCCAAATGAATAAGACTTTGACTAAATTCAGGTGTGGACTGACAAGTGGCAAGTAACATTTGCATCACACAAATGAAAGGCAACATCCATCTCCAACAGAAAAGAATCTAACCATTGCCCCTTTACAGTCAATGGCATCACCATCAGTCCACCACTATCAACATTCCGGGGGTGTTCACTGACCAAAAACTGAACTGACCAGTCGTATAAATACAGTGGCCACAAGAGCAGTTCAGAGACTAGGAATCCTGTGGCAAGTAACTCACCTCCTGACTCCCCAAAGCCTGTATGCCACCTACAAGGCACACGTCAGGGATGTGATAGTATACTCTCCACATGCCTGGGTCAGTGCAGCTCCAAAAACACTCAAGAAATCTGACACCATCCAGAACAAAACAGCCCACTTGACTGGCACGACATTCACAAACGTCTACCATCTCCATAATCAACGCTCTGTAGCAGATGGTGTGTATTATCCACAGGAGGTTTACTACAGAAATTCATCAAGGCTCCTTAGACAGATACGCAGAAGATGTGAATTGTTTAATTCATGAATAAGTCATCACTAAATACCTACGATATAAGATTTGCAACATAAATACAGAAATTGCTGGAAGAACTCAGCAGGTCTGGTAGCATCTATGGACAGAATGCAGAGTTA